GACTTCTCTTGATGACCTCTTCTGGGGTGACCATCACCCGCTTCAATAATGCATCTTCTAACGCAGCAGAATCACACCTGATAAAAGTATAATGACTATCAAGACTTTGATTTCACTCATTACATTATAGGTTTAAAAACAGAAAGCAACTCATGCACTATTTTTTGCATACATAAGAAGCTCAGCTGTTGTCTGAAGATGGAATTTTGATTTGTCATCTTTAAGAACTGATGAGTCAATTTCTTTTCCTTTTGCGAATGCAATGTTACCAAGATGAAGAATCGCAGCCACAACTCTAAAAATTGCTTCCTGGGGTGAGAAAGAGAGTAACTTGCTGCTTGTGATTAAAGAATATTAAAAGCGGGGATGGGGACAAAACAAGAGATGCAGAGTGGAGTATTAGTTATGAAAATATACTTGATGTGTATCACTAATCCCAACAACGTCCATAGCTCTTCTTGTTGCAAGATAATCATGAGCGTCACTCACACCAACCAGCTCATAACAACTCGATTGATTCAAGTAATGAAATGATTTGGGATCCCCTAACTTGTATTTTTTAATTTCCTGGCAACAAATTCGAAACTGCTGTCAAAAAAAACATTGGGTATGAAATACAATTATGAAATGATTAACAGTGGATTCAATCCTACAAAGTTTATCTCATAGGGGGATGATGATTGTTTGAGCTTAGTTAGACTTGGAGTTTCATCTCAACCTTGAAATTAGTAGTAGAACAATGTACGCAATGGTGTATCCAATGACGGTAGGGGGCAGTCGGGGCACCCGTCTTCACTTATACAAAATACTCCGTATATAATAAGTGAAGTAAAAAATTTATATCTAGTCCAAAATTTCAAACTTATTATTGGAATGTTTAGAAACAGTTTTGTACTGCATACGCTAACAATAAGTACTCCAAACAAGGATTAAACTAAATTTGAGAGATTCTACATAATGTGGGAGACAGTAATGCACGAAGAAGAAGAAGAAGAAGAAGAAGAAGAAGAAGAAGAAGATCACCTCCTGTGGCGCAGCACAGAGAAGATAGAAACAGTGATAATTCCGCTCAGGATCTGAGACCTGGCAAACACGAGACCTCTCCAGGAGATATGTTCTAATGGCTGCTCCCGATATTTTTGCATTCTTGTCGAATTGAATCTCAACGAATTTCCCAAAACGACTACAAATCAACAACAGCTCAATCAATGCGGAACCACATTTGGTTTTAATCAATTGAGGTAATGAAATAAATGAAAATGCATCGTTTTTAGCCCTAATCTGACCTCGAATTGTTGTTTCGAACCGTCTTGGCATTCCCAAATGCTTCCAGAACTGGATTTGACTGCAAATATAAGGAGGGAAAATATATTCTCCATTTAAGAATCTGGCATTCGCCATTGATATGTTTAAGCTAGTTAGCAGCTTGACTGGCTTGAAGTAATGTTTTCTTTTTTTTAACAGAAATAAAAAAACTTATATACTTGGTATTAAAAAAGTAGATCAAAAGCTCTCTTCAAAATAAAAAATGATAAAAATATTTTATTTTATCAATAATCAATAAATAGTGAACTATTTAAAAATATTTTATCTTATTTTAAATAGTGAACTATGACATTCTTTTTAAACGTAAGTAGTATTGTCTTCCACATACAATCTCCCGTGGAGTCACTCGATTTGTGTTTGAATTCACTTTAACTTAGTATTTTTTATATTTTAATCATGTTTTCCGTTCGTTCTCTGTGTTAATAAACTGGCTTATGAGCTGCTTATAAAAACTAAGTAGGTTTCACCATCATATTTTTGAACTAATTTTTTTTGTTTTGACCAGATTATTTACATAATTATTCGTCACCATTTATGAATACTTCAAACAACTTATCTATCATTTTATTTTTCATCAAATACTCACAATATTTATCTTATAAAGAATTTATATGATAAAAACTATTTATAAGCACTAAATTAATAAATACCAACACGCTCTGTTTTAATGTACTTCCTCCGTTTTTTAAAACACTTCATCTTTGATTTTTTTTTTTTTACTCAAAACACTTCCACATTCTATTAATAAACCAATTCCACTTATATTTTTTCTTATCTTATCTATCACACCAGACTTTTTCACTAATAATCTATTCATCACATATTACTTTTATCCATCACATCAAGAACAAAATTAGAAAGCCAACCATAAATATACAGTCTTTATTTATCCTAAATATCAAAATAGGAACCGTTTTATAAAAAGAAGCGAGAACTAATTGCCTACCTCAAGAACTTGTTGTTCAACGGTGCGACCTTCCGTGCCCTTGCGGCCACCCAAATAGGCCAAATACCGCATAAGCATTTTTGTGGTCTCCGTTTTACCGGCTCCACTCTCCCCGCTCACCAATATCGAGTTACTCTTCCCCTCATTCAGCATTGCCCTGATATTTTTATCATTAATCAATTAATTCACTCATAAATTAACATTGTTTTACTCTATATTTAATATGGAGTAACTTTCTCCGTCCCAAAAAAATTATAACATTTTGACGTTTCTGGTTAAATTGTGTAATACTTTGACCACAATTTATAGAAAATGAATATTTAGTTATCATGTAAATTTCGTAAAACTAAGTTTATTTTAAATTATTAATTTGAAGTATCAAATTTTTATAATATTCGATTATTTTAAATTATATTTGATTCGTGGTCAAAAAATGTTATAATTTTGCCTAAAAAATCAAATTGTTCGCCTTTTTTTGGAATAGTAATTCCCAGCAAAAAAAGTCAAAATTTACATTTTTTTAAAAGTAAGATGAATGACCTGAAAGCCACGTCAGCAATGGCAAAGACATGGGGGCTAAGCTCTCCGAGAGGGGCTCCTTTGTATTGTTCCATCATGTGGACGTCATAAATGTGCGGTAATTTTTGGAATGGATTAATCGCAATTAGTATGCTCCCCGTATAAGTCTGCATGTCCATGCATGCCATAATAACAAATTAATGAGAGCATATTAATAACCAAATTTTATTTATTAGATATAGAACAATAACTTAATTGACGGATCGGACCACCGGTCGTCATTTTTTTAATGATATATTGGTCGTATCACGTACATAAATTTCATTGAGTTGGTATCGTGTCTTCAAGTTTTGCAACACACCGGGTTCGTGCAAATACGACAGCTTCGTCATGTCGTCCACCCCTCCCGCAGGGGCATCCTCGTCCTTGGGATATATTTTTGATAAATTCGCCACCACCTTCATATGCAAATATGCAAATATTTTTTATAATACTAGCTATTTACTTACACATAGTGGGTGATTTACGTGAAGCCAACGTGAGAAATCTATTTTGGGACAATAAGAGTATTGGGTATGTACCTGTCTCCCATCGGTTGTATCGACGTGGACTTGTTGCCCGTCGATCTTTGAGACACGCCCATCAATCCAAGCAAGCGATGAATCCTCAACCCAGATCTGAGTCCCCACAATTATGTTCACAGACTGCATGTTCTTGTTCTTACGTGCCTGATTCTGAAGAAGAAGTAGAAGAAGAAGAAGAAGAAGAAGGTGATGAGGGTAATGATTCGAAGAACACGGAAGAACGTAATTCCGGCATGCATGGAAGTTAAAGGGAAGAAATTAAGGAGAATAAGGAATCAAGAAGATAGCTAGTGCATATGCTTGCTTGTTATGGAAGAGTAATTAAGTTTCTAATAAAACAAAAAAAAATGAAAGAAAAAAAGTGAGGTATTGTAATTAGTTGATTAAGTGTGATTAACTCCCTTAATTGTTGTTAGAATTTGGGGGAAATTTTTTGCACATTTAACGTAAACCACGTTGTGAACATACACGTGTTGTAAAACAATTGCAGGCTAGGCATCTAACAAAAATAGGAAGAGGGTAAATAAATGGAAGCCACACACTTTACTTTTAACTATATAATTATTCTTGCACCACTAAGTACCTATAATTAAGGAAAGAACAAGCTAGATAGGTAATTAATTAGGTGATGAATGCATGAAACTAAATTAACTGCATTTGTCGGCATTAATAACTACGGACTATATATTCTCTCGGTATAAAAAAAGTCTTTACCCATTTATTTTGTTAGTGAAATTGATAAACCTTTTACCATTAATAAATATATCATTTCAAATAAATAAATAAATTAATAAATAAATGTTACTGTCTCCGTGTTTTAAAACATTTTCTCTTTCATTCTTGACAAATACTTTTATTTTTGAAAAAAAATGTCTAAATAAAATCATTACAATATACTTCATACTTTTTACATTAATATATTGCGAAATAAGTGATTTGTTTCTTTCTTTTAATGCTACATATATAATTTAAAAGTCAAGTTACAAAATTAAATATTACAAAGGATCGCATGTTTGATCTCCGGTGAGAGTAATAAGTCTATGTGTTTAATGAATAAAAAATGTATGAACAAATATTATACTATACTACGGAGTATTATGGTTATTAGTGTTAAAACACACATGCATTCACTTATTTTTTTTCTTCCTTTGTCATATAATCCTCTATATATTTTGACTTTTTTTAGTCAAACGGTAACACCATTCGTTATAAATTAAATATTATTTAAATGAATAAAGGTTAAATGAATTTGATTTATTAAAACTATATTCTAACTTATGGATATCCTGACCATAGAATCGGCCTTGGGCGGCCCAAATGCAATTTTGAGGCCCAACAATGATGAAACCCAGCTTATCCCAATTCTGAAACTTCAAGGAAGGTCGAAGCCTAAAGATTGGACAAAGTGGCGGGCCGAATGCTGACCCAAAACGATGGGTGAGACCCAGTACAAAAAGAAGACGTGATTTTCCATATCGTGGAATTGAGGGGAAATTGACGATCGATTCGGTGCTACGATTGATGCATGATGGACGAATTACCAATTATGTAGCGCACAAAATTACCTGCTTTGTATACGATAGAATTAGAATATAAATAGAGGGTAAATCTTACCTGAATTTAGTTCATACAAGCCTACGAATGTTTTACATTTCATCAATATTTTTCTTATTTATTGTTTCTTCTTCATACGCCATAGATGTTGAGCTAAATTTTAACACTAACGTGAACTTAAGTGTGTTGAATTTTCCTTTTAATTAAATATGCTTTCTTTCATAATTTGTTATCAAAAAATGTTATTACTGCATATTTGAATATTTGATTTTAAAAATTAAAATAGGATAGAGTTTATGAGATGGGGAGTAACAAACAAGAAGTTCAAGAGGTCAATTCTTGCAGAAGAAGAAAGGAGTGTTGCTGTTCAGAAGTAAAATTCCCAGGGCAGCCATGGAAAATAGGTCGCCGGAGAAGACGAGGCTCAACAAGATGCGTATGTATTACCCCCATATGCGCTTTAGTTTTATACATAGCAGCAATTGATCATCTCTTTTATTGGATTTCCACAGTTCGATTCCGCTATCATTCTTGCTGCAACGATCTTGGCGAAATCGTATAGTTCTTCGTTCGAATCATCGAGGGAAACCATATACTCGGACATATCACATGGCTCCTCCATGTTCGCCGGTTTCTGGGCAGCAATCGCGACCTCGAACCCTAACCCTAACTTTTATTCCGGGTCTACCGAACGATTTGGCGGCTTTGATTTTGTTGTTCGTCCCTTACTCCCATCATTCGCGCTTGAGATCTGTATCCAAGTCCTGGAGACTGCTGTTCTCATCCAGAACCATCATCTCTCTGCGCCGGAAGCTTCTCTCGCCTCCCAGACTCTCCCATTTGCTGTGTATATTCCCGGAAGATCCTTCAATTACATCTCCGTGTCTGTTCGATCCCCGGAATCTCTCCTGGTGCTTGCTACCCCCCATGCCGTGTAACCCTCATGTCTATGGTCTCTGCAATTTCACATCGATAGCTGTTGGGCCCCACTTGTATATCCTCGGCGGGTCTCTTTTCGATACGCGGACATTCCCACTGGATGTCCCGTCCCCGTCATCCTCTGCATTTCGGTTCGACTTTTCTGCTTCGTTGTGGGAGTCTCTGTCCCCCATGATCACACCCAGGGGCAGCTTCGCATGTGCTGCAATCCCTAATTCTGACAAGATTCTGGTTGCTGGGGGTGGTTCAAGGCACAACGTGTTTGGGGCTGCTGGAAGTAGCTTGAGCTCTGTGGAGATGTACGATATCGGAAAGGATGAGTGGGTCCCGTTGGATGGGTTGCCGGGGTTCCGTGCAGGATGCGTGGGATTCTTTGTAGGCCAAGGGGAGGAAGATCGAGAGTTCTGGGTGATGGGTGGGTATGGGAATTCAAGAACGATATCGAATGTCCTCCCCGTGGATCAGTACTACAAGGACGCTGTGGTGATGGAATTGAAGAATGGCGGGAAGTGGAAGGAGATTGGGGATATGTGGGAAGAAGGAGAGAGGGGCAGGCTTGGGAAGATTGTTGTTGTTGAGGGTGACGACTTCGATGCTCCTGCTGTTTTTATGCTGGAAGAAAGTAACATTTTCAGGTAAAATTTGCAATTTTCTAATGCAGAGTTTTGTTTATTATATTTTTCATCAAATTTCTCATATTGTTTCTTGAGTTGAGTTTTTGCTCCCTTTTTGAGTAGTTGCATTTGAGTACTTTGTTTTAAATGTATGGGTTCATGAGTTCATCTACAAGACTACAACAAGTCTGACCACTTTCTAGAATTTCCTCACCATTAGGCTTTATTTGTCATTAATAATCAAAGTTGAAGGTGATTTAGAGCTTGTAGGGTAACACTATAAATTATTGTTCTGGCTTATTGTGCTAAAGCTATGGCTGAAATGGTTGAACTTGAATTTGATGAATTGACAAAAAATATATACTCCAAAAAAACAAATAAAATAATATCTTCAAGTAAAGGTACAAGTGTGACTCATATAGATAGTGTTGCAGATTTTGAACTTGGCTTCCCTCTCCCCGAGTTCCTGTTTCCTAGGTTGATCAAAATCTAATGGTTGAGATCAATACCAATATCATGGAGATGTTAGCCGACACACACACCTTATCCCCGAACAACATGAACCAACAAACGAATTAAACATCCTCGTTATGATATTGTACCAATAGCATTTGAACATTTTTGAAATATTTTACAGGTACCAGAGGAGCCCGAACCGGTGGTTGAAAGAAACCAGTTTACCCAAGAAAACCGCCGATGACAAATCAGTTGGGTTTGTTGGTTTGGACGGCGAGCTATATGTGATGACCTTTCTGAGTGGGACCAGTGCAGCTCAGTCCCATACTTCAAGGCAGCATAAGAGCCCATCACCCATATTGACACAAATTTATCATCCAAAGAAGAAGTCTTGGAGATTATTCACTTCGAAACCGCCCTTTAACCATTCGCTGGATTTCAGCACTGCCATTCTGTGTTCGATTCATCTCTAGACGCAAATCTGGATTCCGTTACAATGCTCTGGTACGACTATGGTGTATATGTTGCTTGGACTATATAGTTCTCATTTTTTGCGATGTTGTGCCTCGTACGTGTTTGTGTATGTACAATTATACATACTCTAGTGCATATATCTTGATGACAATAATGGAAAAGAAAGTGTTTTCTTAGTGAATATTTAGTGGATAAATTCATTTGGGGGGGGGGGGGACTTTATTGATTTTTTTCCTTAGGCACTTTGAACCCTGCTTGAGGGCGCTGCTCCTTTGGAACCCCGTTAAAATAAGAATTTTATCCTAACAAACTCGACAAAGCGTGCACTTTGCACCACCAAATTTCTTTGATGATTATTATGATATCATTGGTCATAGTGTTTCTAATTAAACTAAAATATATAACATGTTTTTTAAAAGGTGAAAATTATTTGCATGTTGGGGGAATGATTGTCATTGTTAAGAGTCAAACCTCGGCGACAATGCCTAGCTCTGGCATGCACCAGAGTCAAACCTCTGGCATTATCCTCTTTTGTACCTCTTCTTTGCCATTTAAGCTACACCTCGGCGACAATGCCTAGCTCGACTACATTGGTGCATGCATGATTGTTGGAAAATGTTAGGAAAATAAGGAAAAAATGTCGAGCGAAAATTGTTTTGGTTTATTTGCATTACTTTGGAAAATACTTTTCTTAATACTCCGTATTTGTGAAGTGAAAATCCCAAATTATTTTATTACCGAGCTACGTAGTACTTTTTCAGCCCGTCATAGATCGTCTCAAATGTCTTTTTTATTTGTCGGATTACCTTTACATTTTTTAAACTTTTAAATTCCACAACTAGCTTTCACTTTATTTATTATACCTTGCCAACGATTTTTTTTACTTGGGGTGAATAAAAAAGGTTGGTAGGAGCGTCTAGACAGCATAGCCGGCCATCTAGAGGTGAATCTTTTTATATCTCCATTTACCTACTTTTCCCTTATGGATAGAGACAACATTATTGAAAACTGACCTCCAAAATGGGCCCAGAAAAACATGTTCGGTTAGATGTTTCAGTTTCTCAAACTATAATGTCAAATAGCGCTCATACCCCTCGTGGTTTGTAAAATAAGCACGAATATCCCCTCTGTTTTCAAAACTCATTTTTAAAGTCCTTGTGGTTTCAAGATGTTGCACCCGTGCCCCTTCTGATCATTTTCCGGCCATTTTTCCGCCGAAAAAGGGGGGCATTGGTGCATATTTTTTAAACCATAGGGGGTATCAGTGCTGATTTTTTTTTCTCACATCTTTTTTGTTTTTTTTCATTTTTTCCTTTTTTTGTTTCATTTATTAATAAAGATTTTTTTTAAAAATTATTTTTATAATGTTCTTAAAATTTAAAGTTATTTTTGTTTGAAAAAATAACATATAATGCATATATACTTCGCAAATTAACAATTTTTGTTTTTTCTGAAAAGTAATTTTTTAACCACTTCAAAAAAATGGGGAATAGAATAAGAAACAAATTAATAAAAAAATAAAAATGAATATCCTTTTTGGACATCTTAATTCTATGGACTTTTTTAGGCATATCCAATTTTTTTTGTATAAGATTTCTTTTGCGTATTTTAATTTTTTCATTTCGTTTTTCCATATTTTTATTTTTTATTCTTTGTTTTTTTGAACTTTCCAAAAAATTATTCTAAGTAACAAAGTGAAAATGTTTAATTTGAGATAGATGTAATAAATGTTAATTTTTTTTATTTTTACTTTCATTTCAAACACAAAAAATTTGAAAATTTTTGAAACATTATAAAAAATTGAAAATATATTTAAAAATATTTAGGAAAAGGAAAAAGAGATAGAAAATATTTAAAAAAAGGGAAGAATAATAAACGAAAATAAGAAATGAGCACGAATGCTCCCTATTGTTTAAAAATTATGCGCCAATGCCCCATCTTCGCCGGAAAATAGCCGAAAAATGATCAGAGGGGGTGTGGGTGCAACGTTTTGAAACCACAAGACTTTAAAAATAAGTTTTGAAAATTAAGGGAGTATTATTGCCAATTTTCAAAACCACGGAGGGTACCGGAGCTATTTGGCCGCCAAAAACATCCTTGACTAGCTTGAACCAGACACGCACCCAATCTTAATCAATTTGCCAATGTCGTCCACTCTCTCCTCACATCTTAATTGGCACAAGAGGTCTGCAAAAGAGCTTGTGCCACCATTTCACTTTTGTCATTGTCAAATCATTAACATTATGTTTGATTCAAGAAATTTAAAATGGGAAAAAAAAAGAAAATGAGATGAAAAATGGATGGAAAAGAAAAATAAGAAGACAATATATTAAGAAGAGATAAAATTAAATTTCTCCCATTTTGACAGAAAAAATGAGAAAAAACCATTTTTTTCTTATCTTTCCAAATTCATTGAACCAAACATAGTGAAATAGATCCGATTTCAGTAATTTGTGTTGGTGATTTTAGTGTCATCAATTTATTTTGTGTAATTGGATTTACTTCGATCAGACAAGAATTTAAATAGACGTTGTCAATCGAGTTAGGAGGTGCGGAGTGCGCGCTCGTTCAACGATATTATAAATTCACTACGGGGGTCCGGGGGCGGAAGCCCCTGAGATAGCGGGGGTCCGGGGGCGGCAGGCCCCGGGTAGCGGGATCCAAGGGGCGGCAGCCCCTAGCGAAGTCGAAGGGGCAGAGCCCCTGGCCGGGGTCGAAATCATTAAAGGACGTTAAGATTTTCGGACGTTACTTCTTTATGAAAATCCTTAAGATTTTCGTGATCGGAGTCCAAATCATTAAAGGACTCGAACTAGCGGATAAACGTCAAAATATACTCTAAAACCGCAGGAGGCTCTTCAAACTCGCGCCTATCTTCTTCCCTACGCGAAGGATCATGTCCGATCATGGATTTTTTGATTCTAGAAAATAGAATCTCGTGGTATGGATTGGGGTACAGATTTTCGATTGCTTGTTCTTGATTAACGTCTTATCCAATTAAAGTATTTCGTATACCCGAAATAACTTTGATCTGAAAGCGTTTCGCACGCGAGTCGTTATTCTATCGAGTTCTTCGTTTAAACACACCTTCGCAGTGTTCTTCCTCCTAATATTCCAATAATTTGTATTTGTCTAACTGAAGGATAGAGTTCAATTATCCTTGTTATTGTATGGTGGGTTCTAGGAAACCATGAGATGCGATTTATGCTTGTTTTTCTTTCTAAAATCTTGTTATCATTGCTCCTTGGATTTCAAATTGGATTAAGCTATTTTTGTACCAAAATTTGTATCACATTTTGTACTCCAATGACATGCACTGACATTTTGTGTTAGTATGATGTTAGTGTGATGATTTACATTGTCAAAAAATGTCAGTGTAAATATTTTTAATTGAACTAACATTTTCTGTCCGTGTGAACCGTTAAAATGTCATCGCATTTCTTTTGGGTATAATTTGGATTACACTTTTAGTGTATCCATAGCATGACAAATTCAAATTTGAGGAAGAGTACTCTTTTATAAGAAAAGTAAATTTGTGAGAAGAAAAATGAAACATTGTGACTGTAATTTGTTCAAGATGATAGAAAGAATATCAACCAAAGAAATCTTTCCTTCAAAGGAATGAATGAAAATTTTGTAGCATTCCATAAAATGAATTAAGTTAAATTGAAATAAAATTTAGGACGAGTAAAGTAAATATGGAGAAAAATTGATTGATGATTGCAAACTACAGAGTACATTAAGGACTTGTTTGGGAATAACGTTAGAGATTAGCGTTAGCGTTTTGGATAAAATTTTAACGGTGCAGATTACTTTGAAAACGCTAACTCTAAACGATGCCCATAGATAACTTTTAATGAAATTGAATCCCATTGAATTTTAATTCCAATTCCATTAATTCTGTATACCTGGGGTTCGTTTGGTACGCGGAAATGGCATTGAATTGAAATTGGAATTCTATGGAATTGAATTGGATGGAATTGAATTCTAATTCAATTCCAAATCCTTTGTTTGGTGTAATTAAAGAATTGATATAGAATTGTATTGTAATTCCAAATCTTTTGTTTGGTGTAATTAAAGAATTGATATAGAATTGTATTGTAATTCCAAATCCTTTGTTTGGTGTAATTAAAGAATTGATATAGAATTGTATTGTAATTCCAAATCCTTTGTTTGGTGTAATTAAAGAATTGATATAGAATTGTATTGTAATTCCAAATCCTTTGTTTGGTAACATAAAATTATATATACAATTGATAAGAAATTGTATTCTGGTCCCAACCGCTTTATTTGATAACTCAAAAAATGACATTAATATACATTATGGCTACCATCATTTTTTAAAATAACCATCTTTAGACATTTATGACCATAAAAAATTGAACAATTATAAATTCAAATAGCTCAAACACACAAAACTTAAATTCAAACAAAGTTGACAGAAGAAGTATTAACTTAAGTTTAAACAAAGTTCAAGTTGAAACAAAGTTCAAATTGAATGATAATCTAGGAATTGTATGATAAAAATAAGTGTCAAATCGAAAAACAAATCTAAAAAAAGAATCGAATTTAAAGATAGAGAGAGAGGGAGAGAGAATTACCAGATGTCGCCACCCTCACCCCTCACCCATGGAGAATTGCGAGATGTCTGCGAGGGTCACCCATGGAGATAGAAGATGAGAGAGCTGAGAGAGATGAGAGAGCCGAGAGAGAAAGCGAGAAAGAGTGTGGGAGTTTAGATCTGCCTAAAATTAGATCTAAGATCCGACCCGAGAAAGATCCGCGTGTTTTTATTTGACCTGTGGAATTCACTCCAATTCTTTTATCCTGGTATGGAATTTAAAATGTAGAATTGAAAATTTTGGAATTAGAATTGAATTCCAATTCTATGAGTTTTTTTTATACCAAACATCAGAATTGGAATTAAAGTCTCAAATTCCAATTCCGTGGCTTGAATTCCGCGTACCAAATGGACCCTTAACAAAAATTTGTAGGGAGTAAATTGTAATCTAGAGAAGTTGTGGTTAGCCGATCAAGTGTGCGTTGCGTGTTTTACATTGTGATAACTTTGTGGATTGTTGTCTTCCTTTGTAGCATCCTTATCATATTCCTTTATTTTTTTGAAAAAGACAACAATAAATGGACTCAAAGAAAAATATCTAGCTAACAGCAAACAAAATGAGCCAACTCACAATACTCTTATTCACTTCGTCCTAAAATATTCTTTTTGTTTGATTTTCACGTTTAAAGTTTGTAAATTTTGACTTTGATATGTGAAAAAAATACATTTGATATAAATTTGACACCGATATTTTTCTATCGTAACATACGGAGTAGTTAACAGTCAAAGTGCAATACTGGAGAACGTGAAAAATCAAATGAGAAGAACATTTTTGTACAGACAGAGTAACAATATCTCTAAACTCGTTTCGAAAAAAATTATCTAACAATTTCTTCTCAAAATTAATCTCGAAATAAACAACATATAGATTTTGGTTCTCATCAAACTAGTGATTGAAAATACTTTTTCCAAACAAGGTTTCTGCTATCTCAAACAATAGTTTTGATTATGAATTTATTCTATCTCTAGGTAAAGATCTTAGCTATTTGAAAATAAGTATAAAATTTAAAAAGTATAGAATACTAAACAAAACTATACTAGATACTTAGATTAACCAGAACACAGTTTTTTTTCCTCGAGGTAGTTTCCTATTAAATTATGAATATCAATAAATATAAAAAGTGTAAAAATAAATTCGATAATCAAAATTAGAATGGGTAATTTACCTTAATACGACTAAAATATAATGACTTTCTCAATATAGGACCATACGTTTTTATTTCCCAATGTAGGACCATATTGGTCATTATCTATTAGTCATTATTCAACTATAATGTCAAGCATCACTTGGATATTATTCTTCTTACTGGTCATTATTAAGTCATATTTAAGGAATAAAAAAGTTTAAGTTTTTCTATAGCCTACGTGTCACGTAATCAATTTAACAACATGATCACATAATTACTATTATCATTAACAAATTTAATTACATAGAGACAATATAATTATAGTGCAGGAATTCATAGTAATAAAGATACTAGGTACATACGTGCATGCATAGAGTACAACACATAACAGCAGCAACACATATCATCACCTATCATATATGCCTCCTCACAATCCGGACAGGAAATCCACCCTTCATTTTCGACGTCATGTCCGCCGTGTACTCCGGCACAAACCCGTCGCCCATCGCCGGAACCACCCTGAACCGCCGCAGAACTCCGGCGACCACCCTCTTCATCTGGAGCATAGCCAACTCTTTGCCCAGACATACCCGGGGCCCGGCCTGGAACACCGGGTACTTGAACGGGTCCTTGCCCGTGAAAACCCGCTTCCCCGTCGCGGAATCCGTCCCGAGCCACCGCTCGGGGCGGAATTGGCGCCAGTCCTCCCCCCAGACCGCCTCCACCCTCCCCATTGCGTAGGGGTGGTAGCTCACCCTTGTCCCCTTTTTCACCGCCGTCCCGTCCGGAAGAACGTCGTCTGCCGCCGCCGATTTCGTGTCCACCGGCACCGGCGGGTACAGCCTCATGGTCTCGCAGAGGGCGGCGTGAGTGTACACCATCTCTTTCATTTCGTCGTATACCGGAGTTTCTATTACATATAAATAAAGTTGGAATTTATTTAGATGACAAATTAAAAGAGATTATTTTTCAACGGGGTAATTTACTTAAATAAGACTAAAACATAATGACTTTCCACCACATATTTTTATTTCTCAATGTAAGACTTTTGGTCATTATGAATTAGTCATTATTCAAGTAATGTCCATCATTACTGGACATTTTTCCTCCCGCCAAGACATTAATAAGTCTTATATAGAGAATAAAAAAATTTAAGTCCTAGATTAAGAAAGTCATTATGTTTTAGTCCTATTTAGTACAAATTTTACTTCTTCAATTTATCCTTCATAACAATAGATGTAAACTAAAACTAAAAAAATACATTTTTGGGAGAGAAACAAGTGACAAATAAATTAAAAACAATACTTTGAATTTTTGTGTGATTGATATTATTGTTAAAAAGTATTCTTTTCATTTCTAAGTATATGTTCACTTTTGATTTTTTTCTGTTAAAATTGGTAAAATAATTTTACCACAAATTAAATAAAAGTAATACTAAATTTTGATACAAAAATAATTTTATTCGATTTATTTTATAAAATATATTCAAAATATTATTTTATACAATTAAGATACAACACATATTTCATTTAATAATAGGTTAAGGGTAAAAAATTAGTTTTAAATAAAAAAGAATGAATAAGAACCAAATTAATACTCATCCGTTTCTGATCTTAAAATACTTCTTCTTTAAATTTTTTGTTTTCCCGACCCATTTGGTACACAGAATTCAAATTATGGAATTGAGGACTTCAATTCCAATTCTGGTGTTTAGTAGTACAAAAATTATGTGATTTTGGAATTGATAGTACAAGAAATGATTTAGAATTGGTGAATTCAATTCTATGGAATTGAATCTCATGAAATTTTCATTTCAATTTCAATTCCATCAATTTCGTATAACAAACGGATCCTAAAACACTTCTATTTTCTATTAAAAAATCAGTTTTATTCCTGTTTTTTTTCTTATCATTTCTATCACATCATATTTTTTATTACTAGTCTATTTATATTTTATTTTACTCATCACATCAAAGATAAAATTGGAAAGTCAACTAAAAATATACAATTCTTATTTATCTTAAATGTTTAAGTATGAACCATTTTATGAAAGGTAGAGGATATGATTAAATAATAAGGGATTGTGACCTGCGGCGGCGGCGGCGACTTCACGAACAATCTCATCTTCCACCGCGGGGTGCTTAAAAACGAGCCAGAAAAACCAGGTCATGGCGGCGGAGGTGGTGTCGCGGCCGGCGAGGATGTAGCTGATGACGATGTCGGTGATGAGCTCGTCGTCGTCGGAGTGGCCGCTGGTCAGGAACCGTGACAGGAGGTCAATGGAATCTTGTGTCGGCGATTTCCCTACCAGCTCAACCCGCTTTTCCCGGATCAATCTTCTGGCGAATCCTCGGACCTGGCCCACCACTTCGCGAAGCTTCCTTTCCGACCCTACGTTAAGGGCCCGCTTCACTTTCCATACCAGAGGCATGGCCGAGTTGAACCTACATGTCCAAAATTATTTGTTATGGATATTATTTAAATCATCCGTAAAAAACAAAAAAACTTTGGAACTACTAATATTCATATTTTTGCATAAATATATTTTATAAAAACTTAATATTTAAAAAATATTAAGAATTGATTGCACAATGTATTTTTTTGAAATGAATTCAAATTAAAGTTTACAAATTTTGATCAAGAAAAATAAAATGAGAATTGAAGATAAAATCAGAAGTAAATAGGAGTAACATTTTTCATAAAGGCCAATTCTTTTATTATTTTAAAATCCATACCTCCATATAATATATGGTTTCAAAAATATAAAATAGACTCTAAAGTGCTTCTCAAAAACTAAATTTGACTACTTTCTAGTGTGTGTTTATAATTTTTGTTTATTTTTAAATATACCCCACCTTCAAATCTCCTTTATCAAAAAATGAAAATTACGGAGTAGTTACCGTATTATTTATGAAAGACATAGCTACTATATTCACAAAAGTAAATATTTATCATTTATAATCTGATTAAATAATATAGTTTTGTCACATCTTATTTTGTAAAATTTTAATAAAGTTCTTAAATATATATTTTTTCTATGCTAATGTCAAAACAGATTAAATTTTTAATATATATTTAATCATATAATTAAATCAAACTGTATTTTTTATTTTGGTCTTGATGAAGTAATCTTTTAAGGAAAATCCGTCATACTCTCTTTGTCCCATAAAACTTTTCGTGTTTGGAAAAAAACGTACCTTTAAAATGGTTAATTTTTTTTATTTTCTAATTATGACTCATCTATCTATAATATCATCATACTCTATTATAAAATAAGAGTAAAGTTAGAAAATAACATTAAAATAATTTATTTTAAGAGTACCTCTTTTTCAAAAAAGGAAGAGTGAACAAAGAGAGTAATGTAAGGCACGTTCTCTTTATTCTGCAAATAATTTTTTGGACCATGCTACACTTACATCAAAAATTGTACCCCATTTGTACACCGCAGTTATACACATACATTTTGATGGTTTACACCGACGCAAGTGTTGGTGCGTTAACAAAAATTTACACGGACACAAAGTGGTGGTGCATAAACAAAAATTAGTTTTACACCAACACAAAATGTCGATGCAAACCTGTGGTGTATAAATGGGGTACAAAAGTTTGGGGTACAAAAAACTTTATTTTAATTTTTTTGTTTACCTTTTTTCCTGCTTAATAAACTTTTGTTGAGGAACCCACTTGAGAAGGAGTTCTATTTAACTTCGGGCTGTGGGTCGAAAAAATATTTTATAATCTAAAGATATTTATCATGAGTTATACTCCCTCTCTCCCTAAATAAAGTTCCATTTTTGACTTTTTGAGGATTTAAGGGAGGGATATTTTGGTGTTGACTTTCCAAAAATACCCTTGATGTGATGTGTTAAAATAAGATGTGATAGGTAGATTATTAGTAAAAAGGTATGATATGATAGGTAGGGTATGAAAAAGTAAGGGGTAAAAGGGGTTTTTTTAAGGGAAAAGAGAAGTTTATTTAGGGATAAAGAAAAAACGAAAAAGGAACTTTATTTAGGGACGGAGGGAGTATTTATATTTCTTATTGGGATCATTAATATCTATATTATTAAATAAATATATAATATAAAAGTGTAATATTTCAAAACTACATTTTGAATTGAAACTAATGAAACATTAACTACAAAAATTGTAGTGTTATTTACTACAAATATTTCATATAGAAGTACTAGTCTTTCTTTAAAAAAAAATACACATACCGTTCGCTTATGATCCGCATAGATTCATCAAAGGCCACAGCAAGCTTCGCGTTTGGGAGATCAGGCAACAAATATTCTGGGTCGTACCCGAACGCGATCTTGCAAATATTGTCAAACGCGAACCTCTGCAGGACGTCCTGCATGTCCAGGACCCCGCCACGTTCAGCGGCGGCGTCCAAGACGGGAACTAGCCTCCCGGCGAGTTCCGCATCCACGACGGTCCCCACGAACTTCCGAAGGGACTTGGTGCTGAACTCGTAGCTCGCCACCTGTCTCTGGAACTTCCAGGTGGGACCGTCGACGTTGAATATGCCCCGCCCCATCAGGTCGTAGAGCGCCGCCTTCGAGATGTCCCCCTTCTCGTACACGTGGAAGCGGGATTTCAGGACGTGCTCCACGTTGGCGGGGTTGGCGGTGAAGACCTGGGCGTAGCCGAGGGGGCGGCGGAGGACGAACGTCAGGGTGGGGGTGGTGGCGAGCACGTCGGCGATCCACTGGATGCGGCGGTGGTTGTTGGCGGTGATGGTGAAGAGTGAGCCTATGAGAGGGTATGATCTTGGAATCTTTGTGGATTTTGGAGGTAAAAGATTCATAATTGTGGTTTTGATGAAGTTTAAGAATAAGAGGGATAGTAAGAGTGGAATGATCATCCCTAATTTTGTGAAGTTAATTAAGGGGGTTACTAGTGAGCTAATTAGTGAGAAGATATTTGAGAAATGTTTTTCTTCCATATTCTTAAGTGGTTGGGTGCACCATTGTACTTGCACTTTGTCTTGTATTTATAGTAGAAAAAAATGTCAATTAATTAGTTTTTTTCCTCACTTATTAAATACAATTGCATTATTCTCTTCAATTTCTTAATTATCACGTGTCATAAAACTTCACTTTCTCTCTTCTTTAGCTAAGTTTACACTTCTAAAGGACTACCTGAGTAGCTAGTAGAAATCGAATATAGCACAAATTTTGCCTGTCTTTAATAAAGCAATCACCCACAATAAGAATAAAGCATAAAAAACATAAGGATATAAAAACTTTATGTTTTTAACTCCAAAATAGAAATTTGTATTGTGACACTTTATATTAGCATTTCATAGTATTCTTTTTTTACAAATATAATATGTAATGTGTAATTTCATCCGATTACTTTTTATTTTTACTCCCTCTATCTGTCCCACAAAATTTTTCTCATTTCTATTAAAAAACCATTTTTACCCTTACTAATTTTTAATATACACATCACATCCACATTTTTTTCACTATCAATTTATCCATCACATCCTACTTTTATCCATCACACCCAAGGACATTTTTGGAAACTCAATACTAAAAAATACCCTCCTTATATCCTTTAGAAATCAAACACATTAATTTGAGTAGCTAATCATCCATCATGTGCCCACCATACTTTCTGTTATCGCTCACTCAAAGATAAGTACGCATAGTTCAATTCCATCATGCGGTGCAATTAACTAATTAATTATAATTAAGATGGAATAATGTGTGGACACTAATTAACTAAGATGAGGTGTATGTCACAATCATATATTTTATATTTTTGCAAACAGTAGCCGCCTAAATCAATTCTCGATCCTGTTTTGATTGTTAGGATAAGACAATTATTATATATTGTTTAATTAATTACACTACATGATTAAATTTAATCATTTTTTTGAGTACTAATAACTCTGTTATAGTGTACATTCTTGACTCTTCTAATCATTGTAATTTAATTTAGTTAAAATTATCGAACATAATTATAAGTTTAGGGGTAATCTAACACCAATTGAATTATATTGGTGTAAGCTAGATTGTAAGACTAAATCAATTGAGTCGTCTACTATACGGTGCTCTGATCGTAAAATTAATTGTTCATACTCTTTCTAATCGACTAAACCTCCCGGTAAGTCCTCATACTTGGCCCGTCCCTTACGCAATCTTGTGCTCCCTCCAATTGCACCAACCAAATTATGAGTAAAAGATTAGTCACAAAGCCAACAAAAACTTAAATAGCGTAGTTGGAGGGGCTGCATGGGTAGAAATAAATAATGTCCAAATGATGCAATGATGTTATACCAATTTAATTGGTGTAAGATCCCCCTATAAGTTTTTCTTAGGTAAGCCTTAACTCTTGAATATTTAGACATTTATAAATAGAGATTTGATATTATCAAGCATTATTTCTCTAATACAACTTCTCTTTAAAAACTCTTCTTTTCGCCTTATTTCAATTCTCTTTTGTTCTTGAAGCCCAAATACCCACATTCAAAATCTTCTTTTTCCCGATAAAATATGTGTCAATTTTCCTACCTAATACTTCATCTATCCCAAAAATAAATCGATTTACTTTCTCCTTACGCTTCTCAAAAACAACTCATCACTTAGGGGGTGTTTGTTTTTTCTGCAGGAAAAGGTCTGCAGTCTGCGGACCACTACTGTAGACATCTGCAGGAGAAGTGGTGGACCGAAGGTCTGCGGTCTGCAAGAAGAAGACTGTTTGTTTTTTAATGTCTGTAGACTGCTATATAAATTAATGGTGGTAGTGTACGGTGGTGGTGTATGGACAATTGTGGTGGTGGTGGAGGGTGGTGGTGAAGGGTGGTGGTGGATGTTGACGGCGGTGGTGGTGGACGGTGGTGGCGGCGGCGGTGGGTGGTGGTGGTGGACGACGATGGTG